AAAAAAAAAAAAAAAAAAAAAAAAAAAAAAAAAAAAGGAAAGGAAAAAAGACAAAACACTTTTCTGAGGACAATCGGACAGCAAACAAGACTGAGTGAGATCAACACCTTCAGCAAGCAAGGACATGCACAATGAAACCAGTGAGTGTCCTTCCACAGCAAGGCTGGCAGAGACACCATCAAAGGTTTGTTGGCAAAGGTGTCTGGACCACGCCCACCTCCTCTAGCTGTACACAGGCAACACCTGAGCTTCTCAAAACACCCAGCATTCAGCCTCTACCTCCAGGCCAGCCAGCACTCTTTGTCCTTTTCCCAAAGAAACAGAACACCACCATTGCACCCCTGCACACGAGTGCTCATGCAGCTTTCTTCATAGACGCCCCCAACTGCAAATAGCCAGTGTCCTTACTGTACCAGGCTAAGCCAGAATGAATATCCACATCCTGCCTACTGCCCAGCAAAGGGAAGCCACCGATGCACACTGTGCTAAGCACATTCTTGAAGTAGAAAGGTGGTTTTGAGGCAGAAAACCAATCAGTGTAATTTTCCACTTACCAGATAAAGGTGAACACAGAGACACAGAAAGGCATCTGATAAAACCATCAACCACGACTTAGAATTTTAATTAGCAAAACAAGAACAGAAAGACACAGACTAGCCTATGAGCCTGCCTTACAACCCCAGCCCCCCCAAATCCCTGATGGACATACACTCAGAACCTTCTAAAACCACACAGAGATGACCATGAGTATCTTCTGGTCAAACATGTAGTTGAATCTGAGGTTCAAACAGCCAAGGAAAAGAAATTAAGGACTTAAGGGGAGGAAAAAGGTGACAACAATACACATGCCAAGACTGCATAGTAAACCAAGATTAACCTACAAACCCTCAGAAACAATGAGCAAGAGTAGCAAGATTGCAATGCACACAAATCGACTTGCCTTTTATATGAAGTAGTCAAACTCACAAAAGAGAAGCTGAAGGGTGTGCTGGGCTCGGGGAGAGAGAGAAGGCGGCTACTGCGTGGGGACTAAGCTCCAGATCTGCCAAATGGACCCTTCTGGAGATCTTTGAACATGCAAACAGACGGCACACTAAGACTTGCACATTTGGAACATGCCAGCTGACAAATTTTAAATCAGAAAGTCTGGAAATAGCATTTCAGTATGCTAGCACAGCACAACCCAAACTGCAGAGTGCCAAGGCACCCTCCCCAGAGAGGCTGCATGACCCCAGGGTAGATGTCTGCAACATTCCTGAGGTATTAAGGCCAACATCAATAAAGCTTATGTGCCAATGTGTGCTATGTTCCTAGATTCCAGACTGGCCGTGGGGGAACACATTTAATACCAGCAAACACACTTAAACACCAGCACTCTGGAGACAGAGGCAGAAGGGTTTCTGTGAGTTCCAGACAGGCAAGGCTATTTTAGAGAGACCCTAACTCAAATAACGGGGAGGGGGGGATTTAAAAAAAAAACGTTCAGCCAGGCATGCTAGCACACTCCTTTGATCCCAGCACTTGGGAAGCTGCAGATCTGAGTTCAAAGCCAGCCTGGTTTACAAAGTCAGTCCCCAGACGGCCAAGACTGTTACACAGAGAAACCCTGTCTTATAAACACACAAGCACACACACACACACACACACACACACACACACACAGACACACACACACAGAGAGAGAGAGAGAGAGAGAGAGAGAGAGAGAGAGAGAGAGAGAGAGAGCGCAAAAAAACTTTGTATTAGGTAACAAACATCAATGCTAAGAAATGCCTAAAGGAAAATAAGTTTTCCTCCGACTGTCAGCCAATTACACCATTTGGTTTTAAGAGTGGCAGTCCTGAAGCAGGAGAGATGGCTCAGAAAATAAAGGCGCTTGCGGCCAAACCTGATGACCAGAGTTCAATCTTGGGAACCCCCCTGGTAAGAGACAACCTTGTGCGTGCATGCATACAAACACAAATTTAAAGTATAAAAAGAGTAGACAGTCCTGGGTTCGGCTTAAACACAAGAAACACTTCCAAGAGCCCCTTCCAAGAGCCTCGGTTTCCTACAGTGAAACCGGACCAACACTACTCCCGTCTCGGCCGTGGGAAGAATTCATTCAATGAAATACGCTAGCAAAACACTGGGCACGCAGAGCCGGGACGCAGGGAGACACGGTGGGTGACGGCGATGGCGATGGCGATGGCGATGGCGTTGGCGACCTCCGAGCGGGCGGGCCAGGCCTGGGTACCCAAGGGAAGGAGCCCGCTGCCCACCTGCTCCTCCAGCCGCTCGATTTCCAGCTGGTTTTTCTCCTCCTCCTCGTCGTACTCCCACTCGTCCTCCCCGGGGGAGCTCTCAGCGGAGGAAGCCATGGCGTCCTCCTCATCCCCGTCACTCTCGCTCACGCCTTCCCGCTGCAGGTCCCACCCTGGCCCTTTGGTCTTGGCCGCGTCGGAGGCCACAGCGCGGGACTGCACATTCCTGTCCGCACTGGCTGCCTTCGCCTCATCCTCCCCTCCCTCGGCCTCAGGCCCCGCCTGGGGCTCAACCTCCGGCTCGGACGCAGAGGCTGCAGCCGCAGTCGCCATCTTGCGCAGCTTGCGAGTCTCGGGTCTTCCCTCGCCCGCCGAAGCCCGGCGAACGTCGGGCTGTCCGCGGCGTCCGCCTAATCAGAACGCCGCTTCGTCAGCACTAGAAGCGGCACGGAGGGCCTGGAGAGGCGGGAAACCCGTAAAATAACCACCGCGGATATATCTTTATATTTCTAAAGGAGGCAATGTCGGGGGAAAAAGGCTCATGAGCATAACGTGAATTCCGTTACAACTTTGGACAGCTGTTGGGTCTTTGAACCGGAAGTGGCGGCCACAGCGGAAGTCGTGTGAGCGTGGTGTCTGTGGTTAAGGTCGAAACGCCATCTTAAGAAGGTCAAAGTCATTCTTGGGACTGAACGCCTTCTGCCTCGCTCAGCCGGCTCTAAGTGCTTGCTTGTTTCCCAGCAACCGAGCCTCGGGTGCAGAAAAAAAAAAAAAAAAACTCGGGTTCCTCGGCGATCGGATTGCACCATTCACGAGAACGTTCTGTCTCCGGAAGGATAAAGCGTCCTCCTAGGTGTTAACCCCGTGAATTTTGTGACTTCACAGGTTCATAGCCAGTGTTATTGGTAATGTGCAGTAAGTGTTGTCTAGGGATGCCGTGCACTGCCATAAAACGGGGAGTTTCATTCATGGATATGTCGGGGCGTTTCCTTCTTACACTTCTCGTCCTTGGGGTAGAAAAGCGTTGGCGCTTTTCAATGCACACTGCCTTTCTCCTTCACTAGCAAGGTTAGCGAGGCGGGAGTCGCGTCCGTCTTGCTTTCCGGGGGACCCCCCCCCAAGATTCTGTGGTGACGCCCCGTGTGCACTCACTACGCATTTGCTCCAGATGAAAGGGCTGTGCTTGAATTAGCAAAGAGAGCCCGCTTCCTGAGCCACGCAGCCAGAACACGGAGTTTAACCGGGACTCGCGCCAGTTCGAACCCCAAGCCCGCCCGAGACCCCTGCGGCGGCCCGAGCAAAGCCCCAACACCCAGCCTAGCGCC